CTTTACCATTTTATTTACTGCTTTTTTCTTTTCAATGGCAGGGTATGTTGCGAAATATAACTCGTATATAATGCTGAGATATTTGCAAAAGTCCGGACCGCAGGTGTATGTGGTGGGGAGCGAACGCGCGCTATTGTCCTTACCGGGGAGTAGCGCACTTCACCACAACACCATTCAGGTCCTTCGTTTTGCTTGTCTCTCAGCTAGTTCTATTGATCCGAGTTATGATTATTGTCAAGCTCTTCATTTTACAGCTAAAAACTATCTTCTAATACTTTACTTTCTTTATTTTCTGCCTATTACAATTTTTACGGAAGGGTATTAAGCGAAATACAACCACAACGTTGCTGAGATATTTGCAAAACGCCCGACCCCAAGTGTCTGCGGTGGGGACGAACGCGCTATTAGCCTTTTCGGAGTTAAACGCGTTCACCACCACACCATGTGGGTGCTTCGTTTCGCTTGTCACACAGCTAGTTCTATCGATTCGTTCCATCCCCCGGAAAGGGTAATAGCGCGTTCATTCCCCACCGCAGACACCAGTGGGTCGGAGTTATGCAAATATCTCAGCAACGTTGTGGTTTCATTTCGCTTAAAACCCTGCCGTAAAAATTGTAGTAGGCAGAAAATAAAAGAAGTAAAAGATTGTGATTTCAACTACAGCGTCAGCTTAACTGGGTTCAATGCCAGTTTGGGCTCCCCAGATCAATTCCGTTAAGGCGTGATTGCTGATGGTGCGAATCGATAGAACTAGCTGAGACAGGCGAAACGACGGACCCACATGGTGTGGTGGTGAACGCGTTATTCCTCGGAAAGGGCAGTAACTATAGAGAATTTCTTTTTGGAAAAGTTCTTTATCTTCCGAGACAATAGTATTTGATGTCCATATATGGCCGCCTCGCAGTCGCATATCAAACACCGCAATGTAACTTTTGTAATCCTCTCGATCAATCATGTTCAGTGTTTCAGGCACAATAGCGATTCAGGTTTGTCTTCAGTAGTACACCAACGATGGCTTGTCCGAAGGAGGCGTAACAGTGGAACAGTTTACTACTTCCTTGCGAAACAACGAAGTCAACGACGTTTGATATTTCAGGCAATTAGGCACAGTCTATTGCGGTCCAGGATCAACAGTCCAGATAAGCCGCGGTTACACACGCAGGCGGCTCCCGCAGCCAATATAAGCCAGGTGCCTTCGACGACGGAGACATGCCATCACTCACCTTACCCCCGATCGGTAGCGCGGATAATCCGCTCCTCACAACCACATCCTCAATCATCCTCAATTACCTCAACTCATTCTTAGTCGTATTCATTCTCCTTCAATCACATTCATTCTCACATTCGCATTCATCATTCAGCAATCAGCAGATTATTGTATCTCGTTTCTCAGCTTGTCTACGGTGCGATGTCAGTAGTGGCGGGTGTTTCTAAATGCGTTCTGTTTGCAACGCCATCGGTGGCATGTACCATTCCTCCCACAATGTACGCCATGCGTACAAGGCCGGTGAGCCACCAACTTATGCTATGTATTCTGTTAAGCCGCTATAGGCTTATCAGTTTTCAGGCATTATCATACTGGCTCTTGACTCTTAAGCAATGGTGGTACCCACTGATGCTCAAACTTTACGTTGCTGACATAGCGTTATCCGCGACCAGCCGCCTGATTGTGTTCCGTAGATGACTCATCATCCGCTTCCATAGCACCGTCAACGCTCATGTAACTTACTGTCCTCATCGATTCACTAAAATGCACCTCATCGCTCTAATGTTGAAATCCTAGCTCAGCCGAAAGCACGGCTCGTCTGTATCTCTCTCCACCCCAGCATACTGTCTCCCTCTCCACCCCAGCATACAGTCTCCTTTCTCTGCCCCAAGCATACTGTCTCCCTCAGCCGCCGCATTGGCCGCGGATAGACGCGGCTCGGCATCACTCACGGCTAACCAACGGCTACTTCGTTGTAATCTAATTATTATTGTTAATATTGCATTAATGGTATAATAATATTTGAACACTGTTGTCTCGTTGTAAGCCTCACTTCAGTACAAGCCTTAGCACTTTAGAGCTCTAACTTGCGCCATTCCTCTACCATTACTATTATGTTATTAGCGTAGTATTTATGTATTAAAGGTTTAATTATCCAAGTTTTAGGCTGGTAGATTGATACATCGACCAAGAGACCCGCGTGGCTAATATTCTACATCAATCTGTACCGCCACACTCCGCCGCACACCATTTCGCTATATTAACGCGTATGTTCTCCACCGCAAACACCAGCGGTCCAGAGTTTTACAAATATCTCAGCAAGGCTGTGGTTGTATTATCTTCCAATATTTTTTTTGAGCCTACGACCTTGCACTACTCTCTGTTAATAGAGAAAAGTATACGAGCATGAAAAATTTATTACTACCTCACATTGCAATGGTTTTTTCAAAAACCTACTTTTCTTTAACCTCGGTATGGCAAATCAACACGTGTCTAAATTGTTGGACTTATTTATACGAGGTTGATAAATAATTTTTATTAGGCCAATGTTTCGACGTCTTCATTTTCATCAGAGCCGTTGATCAGAGTGGATGGTCCACAGCTGGTCGTCTTGTAAATGTGGCGTTTTCGTCTTCGAAAAAAAGGTTATCACCGGTCAATCACTGCTATTAACAACCAGAATCCAGTATAAAAGAGAGACGCCGGATGAGTATGCCTCATTCGAGAGATGCTCCACTGAGAAAGTTCCCTCTCGGTGCGAAGATGTAGACTCCACATCGAGAAGACGAACGATTGTGGACCATCGGCATGGATTATCGGCTTTGTGAAGACGAAGACGACGAAACGTCAACTGAACAAAGGTTATACAACAGCCTCGTGTATACTCAACAATTTAACTGCATCTATTTATTGCTTTATTCACAGCTGATTGATAGGTATAGGGTAGTTTCCTTAGGTATCAAAATGACCCGTTTTGAAATGTAGTGGGGTTCAGTATTCCTTTCAGCATCTCTGTCTCGCTACCATCACATGTCCGTGAGTAGGGAGGCATGCATACGTTCAGCTGTGACCTGCCGCAAACTTACTCTCCGCAATAAACTGTTGAATAACATTCGAACGTGTACCTCCTTGAAATCCTATTACAGTCGTGCTAGTGGATTTTCGGGTGTTCACCACACGCAGCTGCCGGCATCTACGGATACGAAGGCGGTTTGCTGCTTTGAGGTCATCGTTCTTCCAGAACGGGTTGTCTGAACACCATGTGGCCTTTCCACTCTATTCCTGAGTTTCCATGACAGGCTTTCTCCTGCCCGTGTGAATCAGGAATGGGTTTTCAGCAAGAATTGACCAAATTTTCAAACACTTCATTTCTCTGTGTCATTTTACCGACGCCGTTAATGTTCACACAAATCTCGAATCAAAATCACAAATCAAATTTTTCAGCATGTTTTTAACCCTTGACATTGTAGTTTAGGGTTTATTGACTGGTCATTGCATAAGATAACACAAGTATTTTAACATTTTATTTACTCCTTACTACAACTTTGACGTAAGGTGTTATGTGTGTTACAACCACAAAGATACTGAGATATTTACAAAACTCCGGAGCACAGGTGTCTGCGGTGGAGAACAAACGCGGTATTAGCGTTTCCAAGGGATAACGCGTTCAACACCATACCATGTGGGTCCTTCCGCAGGTCAATCTCTTTGACGGGTGGCTGTTGATAGTACTGATAGATAAGAAACTAGCTGAAAGAAATGGAAACGAAGGAGCCGCATGGCGTGTTGGTGAACGAGTTAGCCGCCGTAAAGGGTAATAGTCTGTTCGTTCCCCACCGCATATACCTGCTGTCCGGAGTTTTGCAAATATCTCTGCATCATTGAAGTTATATTTCGCAATGTATACCCTGCCATTAAAAAGAGGAGGCAGTAAATAATAAGCTAAAATTGCTAGAGTTATCGTTTGGAGGGTGGTTTTCCCTCTACTTCTATCTCAAGAAGCTTCAGTTTCATAGCCATTTAAGAAGGAAGTTTGTCTTTCCAGTTTCAGCGATTCTTCTTTCTGCTTTCTTCCTGAACATGTTGTGGCTGTTTCAAACATGTTTCACTCAAGCGGCCTTTTTATATGTGAAGTTAAGAGGGAGGTAGCAAACCAGTTTGTTTTTGTTATTTGGGTTTCGTCGCCAATTGGTGATGGAGTCATTTTAGGTTAAATTAGTTCAAACGTTCGGAAGTGGAAATCAGTTTTCCTTCGGCTACTCTCGGGTGAATATTATGTATTCCGACTGTTAGTGTGGTAAGTCTAAGCATTTGTACATCTCCGTGAAGCAGATGACAAAACAACAGCAAGAATCTAAATAATTTTTTCGTGCTTAATATCTACATTTTATGGCAAAAACAAAGCGCACTTTGTTGGTTGAGGCGGTGAATTGCGCTGATCTCCCTTATAAAAGGGATCTCCTGCCGCTTAGTTGCGAGGCAACGTGGTGTGCCCTAGGTGGCGGACAAGTTGTTAATCGAGGAGCAGAAGCGACCTTTGCTTCCCTGAGACGCAGATGGATCCAGGCGATGGGATCACTGTTTTCGCTGCTTCAATTTGATGCATACCTTCTGTATTAACGAGGAAGTATTCGTGCACGCTTGCGTGTGTTCTCGTTTACGCAGGTTGTATTCTACGAGTCAACTCGGCCAATAGTCTGCAATCGAGTGACAAGGAAGTATATGAGAGGCGGTTAGGAGTCGCCTCCAACAAATGAGCTGCATGTCCACTCTGGTAGAGAGTGGCAAAATATCCATGAGTATACCCAGCCCCCACGTTCAGGCTATACGTAGGTATCAAAGAGCTAAACATAGTAAAAAAAAACAAGCCTGATTTCCTTGACCTCGAATTAGCTCCGATATATCAGAGTTGGGTAGGAAGAGTGCGGAGAGGCTGCCAAAATCGTAGGGCCACTTCAAGCTGCTTAAATCGCAAAGGACTAGAGCGATGTACCTGAAAGAACCTGCACTTACAATGTATGTACGCTTTTCGTCTAACCCCTCGACAGAAGACTTGATCATGCGGACAAGAATGCTAAGGCATGAAGTCATCGAATGGGCTGAGACGAGGAGACGCTACCGGTTCAATGCCGTCTATGACATCGAAGAAGAACTGTTCCTCGGAACATGCGACAGTAGAGGAGTCGGTGGCGCCGGCGCTCTCGTCAACGCGTGTTTCGCCAAGAACATCGACCCATTCGAAAAACTAAGAGCCCGAATAGGACGTTTACTATTAAAAAGACGTGGATCAATTCCGGCCTTAACAATCTTCGTCGTTTACGCGCCGAGATCAAACTATGACGAAAAAGAAGTCGAAGCGTTTTAGGTGGGCTTGGAGAAGTTCTACAGAGAAGACCACGTATTCTTCAAGGTCATCATTGGAGATTTCAACGCCGAGATTGGACCAAGAAGAACGTCTAGAAAACATTGCTCTCTGAGTTTACCATGGCGACGAAGACCATTCATAGTAACCAAAATTCCAGAAATAACGAAATAAAACACTTCATAGTAAACCGAAGGTTTTCCCTAACCGATGTCACTGTTGTCCCAAAATCCTACACGGGACCACACCGTCGTCTCCTTCGTGCAAGATTTCATTACCTGCAGAAAAGGGAAAAAACGGTTAATTTTAAAAAAAAAAACTAAGCTCTTAAACCACCATAAATTGGGATTTATTTAGTTCAATAGCCGACTGTTGGGATGATTTGGGTTGATGCCGTTCTCTGTAACATCGACGAGGAATAGGGTTGTCTCATTCAACACCTTCATGTTAGCACTATGAAAGATGAGAGTTCGAAAGTCACCAAGAGACGCCTGTCTCCAGAAACACTCGAACTGATGCGGTACCATGGAATCGCAGGGACTGCAGGCAACCGCAACTAACGTCCGAACTTGCGAAGAAGTGCAGATAGGCGATAAAAGATGCTCTTAAAGAGAGAAGAGCGGTAGCAACGGTCGAAGCTGCAGAGGCTGGGAAAAGCATTTGCAAAGCCCACCGAAGCCTCGTCAATTACAAGACCAAGATGACTGCACTCCGACGCCCAGATGGAACAGTTACAGTGACCAGAAATGCAACGGAGAAAATCACTCACGAATACTACTCAGATCTCTCCGATAGCCACGTCTACCTTCCGTTATATGAAATAAAGGATGAGGATATGTTGTATCACCGGTTCTCCCTTCCGAAATCCGACATGCCATTTTGTCGTTGAAAAATCGAACAGCACCAGGTTCAGACAGGATGAGATCTGAACACATGAAGAACCTTCCACCAGTCCTCGTAAACACTCTGGGTCGGCTCTTCACACATTACATGTCTGAATGCAGGATCCTTCTCAATCGAAGACAAGCGAGACCGTATTAATGTTCAATAGTGGTGATCTCCACGATATCGGCTACTATCGCCCAATCTGCTTGTTGTCTGTCGTCTACAAACTTTTCACTCGAGTCATCCTAAACAGAATTGACAGAACGCTGGACGAAGAACAGCCATGTGAACAAGCAGGGTTTGAAAAAGGATTCAGTGAAGTGGACCACATCCACACGAGACTCATTGCAGTATCGCGAGAGAACAAAAGACCATTCTGTCTCACTTTCATCGATTTAAAGAAGGCCTTTGACTCAACTAAGATAGAAGTAGATATGAAAGCCCTGGACAGTCAGTAAATCCCTACTCAGTATATGAAAATTTTTCGTAGGCTGTATAAAAATTTCACAACTAAGATATAACCATTCTACAACGATATTAACATCGACGTCAAAAGAGGTGTTAGGCAAGACAACACCATCGCTCCAATATTATTTATCGCCATCCTGGAGGACGTTATGCTAATACTGGAATAGGACAACATGGAAGTTGAAATCGATGGTCGGCAATTACACCACCCCCGTTTTGCTGATAACATTGTTCTTATAATTTTAACTCTTTTATTTACTGCCTTTTTCTTCTTAATGGAAGGGTATGTTGCGAAATATAACTCGTATGAAATGCTGAGATATTTGCAAAACTCCGGACCACAGGTGTATGCAGTGGGGAACGAACACGCAGGACCCGGATGGTGTAGTGGTGAAATGCGCTGCTCCCCGGTAAGGACAACAGCGCGTGTTCGTTCCCCACCGCATACACCTGTGGTCCGGAGTTTTGCAAATATCTCAGCATTTCATAGGAGTTATATTGTTGTACCGCCAAACATTAACCAAGCGGAACTTGCGGATTTTGATAAAGCCTTAGGAAAAATTGGCCTTTAACTAAATCTCACAAAAGCGATATGAGGAATGGATTTGTTATGCGTGTCCCATTCATGCTCAACGATATGAACATCTTCGAATGCTCTAATTACGTCTATCTAGGTTAGGAAACCAATAACCTCCTCCAGAGCTCCAGAGGAAACCAAGCTCCAGAGTTGAGCAGAAGAAAATGAGCGACTTGGGGAGTTTGAGCTTTTAAGAGCATCCATGATGTAGTGAAGAGAACAAAGAACACCCGACTGCGTGCCCACCTTTTCGACTCCACGGTACTTCCTACCTTAACGTATGCGTTAGAAACCTGGTCACTGTACAAACAGGATGAAAGATCACTTAGCGTTATTGCAGGTGGAGTTCAAAGAGCAATACTAAAAGTGACCTGTGTTACATAAGGGAAGGGATCCGAAGAGCCGACCTACGACCTATGACCTACATCAACTATCGAAGCTCAAAGACGCCGTTCTGTGCGCCAAGGTCTCGAGGATACGGTGGGTCGGACGCGTAATGCGTGTAAAACTTAAAAAACAGCCGTTGGCGACTGAATTCTTCGTGATTTCAAACACACTGCAGAAATGCCAATAACCCCATGGTGTGAGTTTTTCACGAAAACCCTAGAAGAAAGGTAATGTATAATGCTCAACGAGTCCCTAGAGCGAGCAAAACCCACAGGGCTACTCTCGAATGTGACTGGAAAAATGAAAGATTTTCTGGCATCCACTCGAGTCATTCGACGATCAACGGGGCGACGGGTGATAGAGGTGAATGAGATGCGATGTATTCAGATTTCAGCATGGTTTTACAGTTTAGATAAAAACTGAAATGAGTGCTGGGTTAGACGATGGAAACTACGAGCAGATTTAGTTCAGAACGAGAACATCTCTTTGAGATTCTAAGAAAGCAAGCTCGAATATAAATCTTTCCATCAACACAATTCAAATACACTGGTGTGCATGTTGAAAATAATCTTATCACTCTGGTTGGAGCAGAACAATTTTTCATTAAAACTGATTCGATACCAGACTGAAAAAGTTTTAAAGAAACCGACGGAAATGTTCACTAATATTATTGTTTCAGTAGTTGTCCTTAAGAAAAAAATAATTTTGAAACCGTCCGTCACGGTGCTATAATAATCAACAAGTGTTGACCTTACACAACATTGATAAAGATGTTTATTCGGCTAGTGTTTTGACGTCTTTCTCTTCATCAGAGCATCGAGTAGAGGAACAACTGTGGTTCATCGACAAAGATCGTCGGCTCTGATGAAGACGAGGACGTCGTGTGGGCTTAACAATATAAACACATGTCGTTCTTAAGGTTACAACGAGCTTATTCAGTTTTCTTTTGGACGAAATTATATGCTCACGACGTGGGACGAAAATTCGTCATCAACCGGGAAAATGAACAAATGTGATGGCAGTGATGTGGCCTCCATTTCCATCATCTCCATCTTTTTAAATTTTTAAAAAAAAAAAGACTTCAAAACTAATGTTTTTTAAAGCCGACAATATTTCTGATCGATTAGCGTTTCGGCGCATTCTCTTTCTTTTAGAACGCACGAGGATAAACAGCTGTGGACAATTGACTCAGATGATCGTGGCTCTGAAGAAGCTGAAAACGCCGATACGTTTATCAAAATTAAATTTAAAAATGTTATACCATACTTTTACTCCAGAGTACAAAATTAATCAAAACGAAAGGTTGACGTTGGCTTAGCAAGCAAGTTGCACATGAAGCTTTTGTCAAAAACGCTAAAAATGGAAGAAAGAGACCTATTCCAGTGGGCTGAAAGGACTTCTCCATACGGTAAAAAACTTCAGGTTCGTCTTAGGATGGTTGCTTCCTTGGAATGCATGGCAATGTTGCCGATATTTGCGTCGACACGATTTTGGCCGGCAGCAATGACTCCTTTGAGCAGCTAGCAGTCAAAAGCAGCAAAAAGCCTCCAATAAAATAACGCGGAAGTAAATTCATAGCGGCTAGGCAGGTTCTAGCCAATAAGTTCTACGTCTACGACCGGAGCTTGATAAGCTCTCTGCAATCATATTCTCGTTAAAAACCACTTAGAAGGAGAACTGAAAAAGAACAAAGCAAGCCTCAAGGAATTAGAGAGTTCTATTGAGGTCCTATACATGCAACATAAGAACACGGCCTAGTTAACGCTGTCTATCATAATGAGATACATTGTTCCTGAGATTATACGGTAGTAGATAAATTGGCGAACATTATCATCGTCAACCCAACTTAGACAAAGAAATCGATTTCTTTGAAAAATTACTGACACGAATAGGAAACGAATGATTGAGAACGCGCAGAACAAATGCCAGCTTTAAAAAACCTCGTCGTCGTCGGTTCAACAATAACTACTACAAAGACAATCTTAACCCTTTTTATTTACTGCCTTTTTTTTTAATGGCAGGGTATGCTGCGAAATATAACTCGTATATGATGTCGAGGTATTTGCAAAACTCCGGACCGCAGGTGTATGCGGTGAGGAACGAACACACGCTGCTCCCCGATGAGGACAAATACTACAAAGACAACTTCGAGACATTTCATATGGATTTAGAAAAGGTCTACACAGCAGCTCAGACCTCTATAAAATCATTTTATCCATTTCAAATATTTGCCGATTTGAATGTTACGAATGCCTTATTTAGTGATGGAAAGATATGGACCAATTCCGGCTTTGACCATTCTATCTCAACTTTAATATAACGCTCTCGAGTATGTTCGAGAGAGTTAGAATCGCCTTCCACAGCTCTACCCCTTTGAGGCTCTCGAGCCGGTCTATAAAAAGCATTCTTAAGCGGCAAAATCGTCCCAAGAACTATCTTGTGGTTGCGAGCAAGTGGATTTTGGGGTTAAAATCCGCTTTGCGGGTTGACGTGTGCTTTCGATGGGTAAATGGTTGTGAATGTGCTTGCCTAAACGTCGCCTATATCCAGAACGCCAGTTTGGTGAAAGCCCAGGAATCGACTGATTGGGAAGATGAGTTCCTCATTTACTTTAAGATGGGAAGTGTGTAGCCCAGTACTTAGCGGTGCCCTGAAATACGCGCTGCATCGGTTGCTGACTCACCGG